TGCGTGCGGGGGTCCCGCGGGGGCCCCAGCCACATCCTGTGGAAGGTAGTGGTGGTCTGCTCTGGATGGGAAGCTGAGGCTCCGAGGGGGAGTGCTAGTGGCAGGGATTGACTCCCAGCCCTGGTCCTGTAACCTTCCCCACTCCACTGCCCAGTTTGCCCTTCCTCCCCGGCCCACTCCGGCCTGTTGGCCAAGGCCCTCTTAACTTCACCCTGGCTCTGGCTCACTTGTGGGGGCTGCCGCCCGCTGGTGCTCTGACAGGAGGCCGTGTTGGGAACGGCATGGGAGGTGGTGGTGGCTGGGTCTCCCTGGGCCGGCCGTGGCGGAACCTCGTCTAGACTCCTCTGCTCCTGTGAGTGCCAGGCTGCCAGAGCCGTCCTTTGCATTCTGGAGCTCTGCTCTCCACCCTGGTCTCTGCCCTCGGACTCTCAAGAGGGTGGGTCTGGATCCAAGTGGCTGCCAGGCCCAGCCCTGCTAGCAGAGGCTGACCAAGTCTAGAGCTTTACTGACCACAGGACTACACAGACCCGCCGTCTCTTGGCTGTCCACCAGGAGCCAAACGCCAGCCTGTGGTCGACAAGCAAAGCTGCTAATCCAACTTCGCAGGGCCAGGCCTGGCCTGCAGTGCAGGGGCCATTTGTGGCGGTGCTAGGAGTGAGGGCTGGGGCGGGCATGGCCAGATCCCAGCTTCAGTCAGGACCACAGTGCTGGCATGAGGGTCACAGAGTGAGACAAGGCACCAGGGATATGCCACAGGGCAGAGGCAGGGCCAGGGAGACAGCGTGGGCTGTGAGGGGCTGGTTAGCTGTGAGCGTGCGCAGATGGCAGAGGTCTGGCGGATGTGCTAAGTTCATGAGACTTGGTGCCACTTGGGGACGCCTCCTTTGTTGAGAGATGGTGCTGGCTGCAGGGCAGGTGTTCAGTGACATGGGGTTAGCCCAGGAACTGGCCCAAAGGCTCCTGGCTGGGTCCAGGCTCTATCCTCCCTCCCCCTGAGTCCAAGCTTCTGCCTTAATTTCCTCAGCCTTGATGAGGACCTGAGCTGGTCTGGTCACCAGGAGAGGCACGAGGGGCCGGCTGTGGCAGCACTCCTGAGCTGAATTTGGGGCACTGTCTGCAGGAGGGTCAGGACTTCTGCCTCAGCCCCTGGCTAGCAGACGTGGGTTCCTGGGGATGCACCTCCATGTCCCACCCCAGCCCCAGGCACCAGGGCAAACACCTAGCTCCATGGAGGCGTCCCTGCACTCAAAGCAATGTGGCAGCGGTTAAGCACGTAACTGTCACCTCTGCTCAGTGGCCCTGTCCAAGTGAGTGGCAGTGACAGCTGAGAGGGTCCGCCGCTTCCTCCTGCCAGCGGCTGAGGCCCTCACCTCAGGTCCCAGCCCCATCACACCTGTGTTCTAGGTGGAAGTGGGTTTCTAAGCTCGGGGGTAAGGCTTTGGGGACATGGTGTGGCTAAGGATTGGCTCCCTCCCTTTGCTGAGAGCAGCTGCCCCGTGCGATGACCAGACAAGCACAGTGCACCAGGCCTGGGCATTGTTTATTTTTTTGCATAGGCATAAATTAGAATCTGGAGATAAAAAAATTCAGAACCAATAGTGCAGCATTGTGACAGGAGAGCGCAAAACAAAACCTGGTTGTCTCGGGACAGGGCTGGAGGACCCGGGCCGCCCCCAGCCCAGCCCATGCTCCCTCCCACCTCTCCCCGGGGACCCGAACTACCAGGCCCCAAGCCTCTCGACAGCCAAGAATAGGAGCTGAGTATCACCCAGTGTCCCACAAACGGGACCAGGAACCAGCCCTTAGCTTTTCAGTTAAAAAACAGACTTAGAAATATACACCTACTGCAGCAGGGCCTGGGGGCCCCGGAGCCCCTCCTTACCTCTCCCCAGGATGACCCTGCCAGCCTCCTCCCCAGCCACCCGACTGCCCCACAGCGAACAAGGCAGAAGGGAAACGGAATCTGAGCAGGAGCTGAAAGGGCTCTAGGGGGTCACCTGGGGGGAGGGCCCCATACCAGGACCTGATTAGACGGGGGGAGGAGTGCAGACTGACCTCCCACCCTGACACCCTGAACGTCACCATCGTCAACGTCACCATCGTCATCGTCACTGGGCCACCACGAAGGCCCCGGGAGCCCCCTCTCCCCACCCTGTAGCTAAGCCTGGGAGCTAATGGCCTGGGCCCCCATGCGAGGGGGATGTAGGAAGCTCGTGGGGACCGGGCAGGCTCTGGGCCAGATGGAGAGCAGAGTGGCCCTGGGCCAGCGTCGGGAGAGGACAGGCGGCTGCTCTCCCAGCAGAGGACCCTACAGGGTGCAAGAAGCTCCATGCCCTCCTCCATCCGGCCCAGAGACAAGCCTCTAGGTTCCCTTGGGGACCTGGGCCCACTACTCCTGCTGGAAGCGCCCAGCAGCCCTAGGCCAGGTGCTTCCTGCTAGGACAGTCCCATCCTGTCCCACTCTGCACACCCCACTCTCGGGGGCCTCACTTCCCCCACAGGAGGGGCAGCTCTCCCCATCCCAGGCCCGACTCATCCCACCGATTCCATCCTCACGCCTCGCAGTGGGAGCCGGCCCATCCACCCTGGGTAAGGGCAGTGGGGCCTGTGTCTCCCCACCTCCCGACCCCCACAGTATGCTACATATGTACACCCTCCCAGCAGAGGGAGTCGAGCCGGCAGGAGGCAAGGATGGAAGGAGATGCTGGAGCTGCTGGCCGCCTCGCCCCGCTGCTCAGGAAGACCCTTCTCAGCTCCGGGGGGCTCTTCTTTCTCTTGAAGTCGGAGCGCAGATAAGCGT